CGGTGGCCGGGAGCGGCCACTGCACTCCAGTCTGGGCGACAGAGTGAGACTCCAACTCTAGAAAAAAAAAAGAAAGCGGAGAGAAACGGAGGCACGTTGCTTAGACCTCTGGGTCTCAGTTTCTTCATCTAAAACTAAGGATGGTAGGCTGGGCATTCCATGAAGGTGTCAGTGACATGAAATACTCAGCAGGGCGAGAGCCAGCACTCGTGATGCCCAGAGAGTGGCAGTTGCTGTCAGCCTCATCAAGGCCCGGGTGGCTTAAAGAAGGTTCTGGAAGGGAAGGCTCCCCGGAGGAAGGGCAGATCTACAGCCCAGGAAGGGAGAGAGCAGTGCCGGCAGAGGGAGCTGTGGGGTGGTGGCGTGGAAAAGGGACAGAGCAGGGCCCATAGCTACTGCAGCTTGGATGTCCGTGGCACCCAGGCGGCTCCAGCTGCTGGGCCCGGGGTGCAGAGCCCGAGGTCCACAGGGCGGGAGAGGAACACGGCCTTGTCATCACAAGCAGGGAGCAGGCTCTCCACGCACTGTGGGGTCTGTTGCGACTCTATCCTGGAGGGAACCAACAAGCTTAGGCGGAGGAGGCGTGAGCAGGGGACGCCGGGAAGCCAGGTGGAGGAGGGACTGGAAGGTGGGAGGCTGGAATTTGTGCATACCTGCCAGCCTGGTCATCCCAGCCATGCTCCCAAAGGGTTCTGAGTTGACCAAAAAGAGGCTCAGTGCAAACAAAGAAAAGCCGGGCACAGTGGCTCATGCCTGGAGGCCCAGCACTTTGGGAGATCCAGGCAGGAGGATCCCTTGAGCCTAGGAATTCGAGACCAGCCTGGGCAACACAGCAAGACCCCGTATCTACAAAATGAGAAATTAGCCAAGTGGGGTGGGCCCCTGCAGTGTAGTTCCAGCTCCTCGGGAGGCTGAGGCAGGAGGATCGCTGGAGGCTACAGTGAGCTGTCATCGTACCCCTGCAGTCTAGCCGGGGCAGCAGAGCCAGACCCTGTCTCTAAAAAAGAAAAGAAAGTCGAGATGAAAAGGGACAATAAGCCGGGCTCGGTGGCTCAGCCTGTAATCCCACGCCTTTGGGAGGCTGAGGTGAGTGGATTGCCTGAGTCCGTGGGTTCGAGACCCGCCTGGGCAACTTGGCGAGACCTCATCTCTCCAATAAATCAAAAAATCAGCCGGGTGTGGTAGCACGCGCCTGTAGTTCCAGCTACTCGGAAGGCTGAGGCAGAAGGATCGCTGGATCCCAGCAAGTCGAGGCTGCGGTGGCCGGGAACGGCCACTGCCCTCCAGTCTGGGTGACAGAGTGAGACTCCAACTCAAAAAAAAAAAGGGACCATAATGGAAAGATGGTCAGAGGAAACTCAAGTCAATTCTTCATTGGCCAAGGTCTGTGCGCACACGGTGGGGTTGTTTTCCTAGCGCTGGGCTGGTAGGAGCAGCTGGATGCGCCTTCCTGATTTGTCGAGGGCCAGAAGGCCACGCATACGGTTATAAATATTCCTGCAGGAAAATTAAGTCACTGGAGACCAGTAGGATTCCAGACTGGCGGCTTCTGTGTGTCGCTTTTTACCGCGATTTGGGACCGCTCTGTGTTAGGTCACGGCCCAGCCCACACACCCTCAGACGACTCAGACGGAGGCTGTCCCGAGCCACGCTTGCCCTAGCCTCTCGCTGCGCCATGTGGTCTTTCCTTGGCTGGCCCTCGGCGTTGAGTAAGGTGCTGGTCACTGTCACCGGCCTTCTGAGTTGACGTCACAGCACACAGTTTGGAAGGTACCACTCCAGCCCCTGATCTCCTGTGCCTGGATAGTTGTGTCTGTAGCCGGATGTATCTTGGGACACAGCCCGTCGCCACCACGGAGAACAGACAGTCACCCCGAAGTGCAGGCACGAGGCTTGCCCAGCTCCGAAGGGACCTGTGGGTTCAGCCTGAGCGTGGCGGGCCGGGCAGAAAGCGGAACTCGCCGCGCCTCCCCTGCACGTGTGGACGAGTGGGCCGAGGAGCCAAGACTCACCCTCACGAGGGTGGAGCCCAGGTTGATTTCCAGCCTCGAGCTTCAGAATCCTAAGGGGAGCCGGTGATCAGATCTGCACCCACCCACCCAGTGGAGGGAAGTATTGGGGAAATGCATCGCTGCCAAAATCGGAACAGCAGCTTTTAGGCAACAACCGAGGGGATTCTACTGGGGGAGGAGAATGGTCCTCAGATCCTGGAGGTCTTCCTGGAGGAGGAAGCCGCGAGTGCGCTTTCAAATCAGAGAGGGAGCTGGGATTGAGCGCAGGACCCGCCCCAGGCCACCCGCAGGCCACCTTCTCGGCTGAGATTAGGGAGGGAAGAAGAACCCCACGGGCCCTGCCCAGGAGGCCTGGAGAGAGAAGTCATCATGTTCTAGCCCTAACCAAATGCTGCGTGCCGCCTTCAGGATGGGCAGGGGCTGTCTCCGACGAGAAAACGGAGGCTGAGCGAGAGGCAGTGACTCGCCCACAGTCGACCGACTAAAAGAGTCGGAACCCGGGGCCTTCCTGCCACCCACGCGAGACGGCGGGCGGCCGGGGCGGGGATGAATTGAGAACACGCGGTGCGAAACGGGCAGAGGGCGAGGGACGCTGGGCAGGGCCCAGTCTGTGGCGCCCTGAGGAGGGAGCGCCGACGCCGGCCGTCGCGAGGGCGCTTCTGGGTGGGGGCCTTCGGGCCAAGCCTTCCAGGGGGCTGGGGGCGGAACTCCCCGCGAAGACCGTGGGGGCGCAGAGGAGCGA